ACTTCAACGTAGCCAAAAAATTACCCTGTCCTTCTCTGGTGTTTGTAATTAGTAGCTATTGATGCCTACCGAGAAAGGTGGTCCAACCGTCAAATTTATTTTTCAAGTCACCGTTATCCTTCCTTTCATCTTAAAGATGTGAAATAATGAGCTTGATATTGTCTCTGGTAATGTCCAGAATTCTTCTCATTTGGCAAGAATGCCAGCGAAGGAACTAGAGAATTTTGTCTTCAACCCATGTAATTGTTACTGTTCCTGTATCTGTGAGTGTGACTGTATGAGTGATATGGCTTCTCTGCCAATACTGTCACCATCTTAGCTCATCTTTTGGTTTCATTGTCAATATGATACAATGATAAAAAATTATATTCTTACCCCTCTCTCTCTCTCTGTGTTGTTATTGTTGTTGGTAATGTACATCACTTTGACTGATTTAGTGCAGTTTTCTATGTCAACCTTTCATCACAAGTGACAGTATTCAAATTATTTTCCTGTTTCTGTTAGATGAGCTGATTTCAGATGCTTTTGATGAGTTCTCAACAACATTGTATCTTTTATTAAGATTTATGATGTTTTGAAACATTTGCAGGCACAAAAAATCATAAGTTTATGTGGGTGGGAACCTCGTTCACTACCTTATGTTGTTGATTGCAAGAACCGGCAGTATCAGTCTAGTAGAGATGCCAATCTCCCAGATTTTTCTCATGGGGTCTCTAATGGATATAATTCTAGTATTGTTGTTTATTCTTCTGGTATGGAGGAGACCATTGAGGAAAATGGCGTGCAGGCTGATCCCAATTCAGTTGTTTTAGACTGCAGACTTTGTGGAGCAAGTGTTGGATTGTGGACTTTCTCTACAGTTCCACGGCCTTTAGAGTTGTTAAGACTAATTGGATACTCGGAAGTCAATGGTGATAATGATTCTGCTCATCATAAAGAAGATGCCATTTGTGGTGACGTTGGGGCTTCTGGAACCCATGATTTGAGCATTGTAAATCATGCTGATAATAGGGAAGGCACATTTAATACTGCCCCTACTAGTGCGACGTCTTCAACTGAAAGACAGTTGACTTTAAATTTGACAATTGCAGGGGGTCCTCCACCAACAAAACAGAACTTCAGAGCAACAATTTCTATGCCTGTTATTGGGCGGAATTTGAGAGCTTGGATTTCCTCTGATACAGATTTTAGGGATCATAGAAATCGCAGGGAAAAGACTCTTACTGGGCAAGGATTTCAGCCAGAAGATGTGGAGTTATTACATGGCAAGCAAGTTGATGATGGAGAATGCAATTCTACAAGCATCGGCCAGTTGCCATGTTCGAATAATGACATCGTTGAGGAAGGCAATACACTTAGAAACGAAATGAGCTGTGATATTTCATCTGAAGGAGCTAAAAATAGTGGACAAGGATTCCCTGAAACCAGTACGCCATATTCCATTATAGAAAATTCAATACGGACCACTCCAAATTTAGTAGATGGCTCAAGTAAAAATGACAAATTGCCAGAAAATGCAGAAAATGTTGCCACAGTCAATCCGGCAGTGGAGGTTGGTAGTAGTTCTCAAGTTGGAGACTCTTCTATGGAAACCACAGGTGCTCATTTAACTACCAGAAATGGGGAAATTGTTCAAAATGACGCTTCAATAACAGTTGAGGCTGATGCTAGTTATCTGCAACAGAAGTCGGTAACTGATACAGTATGTGGCACACTAGCTGATAGCCAGGATGGTAGTGGGTTCAAAGCCAGCGTGCATCCTGTAAACAACAATGTTGTGCCCTCTAGCATAGGTAAGCAGCTTATAGCTAGACTCTTATATTATATAGATGGGAAAAAAAGAGACTTCTTTTTTTCGCTTAAGTAGCTATATTATATTATTTATTTTGGATTACTTTATTCTCTCCTCTTTCTGTTGATTCAAATCCATGATTCTAATATTATGACCACTTGGCGGTGCCTTTCGTGGTTTTTCAAATCTTCAAATATAATTTTGTGGCTAATTTGCCTAATCTTCTACCACACATTTTGCATCTCTTCATGTCTATTTTACTGTATGGGTCTTAATATGTCTTTTGTTTGAAATCTGTGATTTTTTTCCCCCTAACACAGTTAAACCTCTGGCTGGGCAACATACAGTTTAGGCCATTACAATCTCAACCATTAGGGAATTTTTTTCTATAATGAACATGCAAAGGCCAATACCCCTTGTTCATTTTGTCTATTAGGGATGCTGGAAGGGTCAACCGGAACTAGACCTGACTTCTGGTTCACACTGGCTATCCTAGACTCCAAACAATGTTTTATGCTTAATAGCCGTCAATTTTCCCAGCATAGATATCCTCTTCTCTCACTTCATATATAGAGGAGAAAGCATTTACTATTGTTACCTCGTGTCTGCAGATTAGTTTTGTGTTTCACATGGCTGCACTTGAGATCAATTGACTTCCATGGCTATCAATGAGATATCCTTGATATGTCTCTTCCTTTCTCATCCTTCTCTTTTTTTAACACTTTTTTTCCTGCTCAATTTGTTGATAGTCTTGTACTTCACATAGAGAAGGTGGGCTCTTTCACTTTCCCCTTTCTCTATGGCAGTCCCTAAAATTGATACGTGCACATATAAAAGATCATATTTCTACAAAAGGTGGCAATTGCAAGGGAACACCGCCTGTGTACATAAAGAAAACAAAACCAAAATCAAAACTATGCGACCATATATATACAAAACAAAACCAAATCAAAACTATGCACCCATATATACGCTCATATCCTTCCTCATCATATCAACTAAATTTGAAACTCTATTTCATCAAGGTGCAACCTTTCCTTTACACGAACTACTATGCAGTATACTAAAACATCTTTTCTTTGGAAGGTACAAAATAGCCTTATAGTGTTAAAAGGTCTTCAATTTGTCTCCCCCACAAGCAGCACACCAAGCACAATGCTGCAGGCCATGCACGTTTTCTCGTTTTACTCGTCAAACACTTGTTCAGTTGTTCCAACTATGAAACCACCTCAACCTAAAATGTGCCTCATTATTGCATGTTAAACATTGTACATTTGTTTAAATCAAGATTGAATGATTAAATTATCAACTTGAAGATTAATTTGGTAAACTTGATCTCCTAAACAGGAATAGAGGGAAATCAATGTCGATGATTGATCCCATGCATTGCATGGAAATTTGGCGAACTTGATCTCTTAATAGGATCTAGGGAAAATCAATGTCAATGATGGATCCTGTGCATCACATGTTGTTAATACTAGGATGCTATATATTAGAAGTTAGCTTCTACAAACGTAAAAGCTTCGAAGAGAAAGATAATGAACCGGAAATAAAATGGAAGTTGGGAACAATAGGATATGCTCAGTAGTATTAACTAAAGACCTGTTGCAAGCTTCAAAGAAGGACGTTTTGGTACTTAATATGGTATTTTTCATTTGAAAGAGAAACTTCTGTAGAAAGCCTGAGAGATCTCCTTATCGGTTTGTCAGGAAAGCATCCAACTGAAAAGCTAGTGACATGGGGTATACAATCCTTCTAGAGCTTACTTCAGATGAGTGTTATACACACACACACACACACACAATTACAAGCATTTATAAAATAAAAAATAAAATAAAATTAGAAAACTGTGCTAATCATAAGATGTAGATGAGAGGAAACTGGAAAATAACTAAAAGTATGTCAAGAAGAGGACTGGAGTGACATTGCAACTTGGTTTGTGTTATCAATTATCACTATTTAAAATAAACTGACATGCTTGGACTATCAAACTTCGGTTGTTGATTTAGTGCTAGGTAATGTACACTGAGCAAATCAATCTGGCTTGAGTCAGAAGGTTGGGGTAATTACTTGTACCTTTGTTGACTTAGCAGGTGGTCTTGGTTCTTGAATTTGTGCATCTTCCTTGTTTGTAGTCTTGTTCTAGAATTCTGGATAAAATTAAGAACCAAACTACATCTTGTCCCAAACCCAAATATGAAAATTTTGAGCTTGACCATATAGGCTGGGTTGTTCATGTTACTCAATTAACCTAATGTAGTAGGGACCAGGAGCTCCATGGAATACTTTTTAAATTATATATATTCCATTATGAAGTATCTATATCTTAAACTTAGGCCTTGTTTGTCAATAGGCTATTTAAGCCAAAAAGCCATTACAAGTTGTTACATCACTCTCTACTTTCTGAACATCGTTTCGTAAAAAGCCAAAAAACCACCAAAATAGCTAATTCCCAAATGGACCCTTTTTTTTTTTAATCAAATTTGTTATCATGTTAGCAGGTTGCTATTAGTAGACTTTCTTGTCAACAAATTAACTCATTCTACAAGCTCACAGTTAAAATTATGTATAACGTATGGGATGTTGCTCCCCTCTTTACATTTTCAATGGAAAATATTTCTTGCAAACTTAATAACTTTTGCTTATAATACTGGTTTCCTAGAATTTTAGGAAACTAATAGATCCTTGGAAACTGCTCAAACTTGTTTGTGCATGTATGTATGACTTAGGGTTTAAATCTTTATATTGTTATAGAAATATTCTTAGAGGAGAAAAATGACCACTTGTTTTTCTAAAATACGATCCCTGGTCTGAGGGCACATAGCAAATTATGTTGCCTTCTCAATCCTTTGTGACATGTATCAATCCTTTTGTCTTATTTATGACTTGGAAGGGGTAAAACATTGTTTTCTTATGTATCACTTTTATCTTTTTAAAGAGATGTGCAGTTAGTGAAAGAGTTAGAAAGAGGGAAGGGATAAAGTGATAGTAGAATCTTTTGGAGCGTGAGTTTGCTTTAAGTTACTTCAAAAGAGGAAGTAAGTGTAGAGAGAGAAAGAACAGGGTGAAGGTAAGATTTGTTAGGTAAAAGAACTATTTAGCAAATACTAAATAACTATTCATCCAGTGTTGGCATTAAGATCATTGAATGGATCCATTTTCTTATAATTATGCATGGATATGTTGGGAAGAACATTTTGTGCTGGCTTTATCATAACAGTGTAGATCAACCTTGATCACTATTTTATTTTTCTTTTCTTTTTTCTTCCTGCATTTTCCGTTTTCATTTGTAGAAAATGTTGGCAAATTCAAAAAGTCAGGTATTTGCCAAGTGTTGTTATCACATCACCAAAATGCCTTTGAATATGCATTAAGTTTGATGATTATTAATGGGTCCCTTCTTTTAACACTCAGCATGATTATGTGGGAAGACAGTACTGCCTTCATTTGCTTCTGTTTATGACACTATAGGTTAACATTGACTAATCTTTAGTTTGTTTTTCTTTCTCTCTCTTTCTCTCTCTCTCGCTCTCTCTCTCTCCCTTTGAGTTTCAGTTGTAGTATAATTTTAGAAAAGATTAATGCGTTGGTCTCTCTGTTCTTCCAGGGAAGAATCAAGATCAACTGCGGTTTGATGAAGCAATGAAATTTGATCCAATCAGGCAGCACAGGCATTTTTGCCCCTGGATTGCTTCAACTGGCAATTCGCCACCAGGATGGAAACAAGTGCTATTTGCTTTACAACGGCAGAAGGAGTTTTCTTCTCCTTTATCCACAAATGCTCCATCGTCTGCCTTGATTGAGGTAATTTAGAATCTCCTTTTATATTGGTAAAAGAACTAGCCTGCAATCTTCAGGTTTATGCTTATTTACTGGTAACGTTTTCAATGAGAAAGACTCATTTTGTTCAAGAGATGGCATTGACATGGATTTGGATGGGGCCTATAAAACACCAACACTTCAAAATGAGTGCCATGTTCATGTCAGACACATCTGTGACACCGACACACTGGGAACATGCATGTCCCCACATGTCGGATACACCACGTGGTGTGTCTATTTTTTAATTATTATTTTTTTTTGTAGGACCCTTAGGAACACTTCACGGACATGTATGACCTATGTTTGGACATGTTTCAAGACACCTTTAAGTTTTTATTTATTTATTTATAATTTTAGAAAAGATAATTTGGGGTCAAAGTAAAATTATACGAAAACGAAGGAGGAAAGTGAAAATAATAAAAATGCACCAACATATTTCTATGCCCCAAATTTATATTTGTATACATGACAAATAAAATATATATTAAAAAAAATAAAACAAAATAAATTGTCCTATCCCACTGTGTTTGTATCCCAATTTTTCAAAATCGCCATGTACTGCATCAGTGAGTGTGTGTCCGCGCGTCTTAGGATGGGGCTCCCCGTGGATGAGGAGGAAGGGTTCAGGAGGGAACTACTCCCTCCTAACTTTGGGTGACATTTTTAAACGGGGTATTGTCCTGCATGTTGTGCAGTTAACCCGTGATGCATTCAATGAGATCCCCATGCTACCTACCAGTCATGCATGGTTGCAGGAATCAATATATCATGCCCATAGTTGACACTCGACACAAACTCATCATTCTCTGTATTCAACTATGGCATGGGTAATATATATCTAGGACGGTAGACATGAAACAAGAAGGCCGGAGGTTTACCAAGCTACCGAACTCATATTTTGGCATTTTCTGGTATTGCTGCTTGGGGAAAGTGATCATGTTTTTTCCCTTATTAATTTTTACAGGTGGACGATCCCATTGCTTCAGTCAAAAAGCTATTCATGTCTCCATCTGCCAAAAAAATGAAGCTGGCTCATGGTTCAAGTTGAGAAGCACCAAACTGTGAGAAGCCATGAAAGTGTTGATCTTTCAACCCGTTTTTGTTTGAGTTTTGTTTTCCTTTTTGCTTTTTGATGAGCCGTGTTGTACCTCATTGGCATGTTTGATTGGGTGGATTAGAGCATGGGATTAGGATTATTAATCCGTGGACCCAATTATCCTATGTTTGTTTTTACATTTTGGTTTAGGATTATTAATCCAATGGATAATTAATCCAACAAATTTGTAGGATTATTAGTAATTGCGTAGGGGTGGGATTATTAATCCTATGGATATTAATCCAATTGGATAGTGAATACCACACTAATTTAATAGGATTATTAATACTTCACTATTAATTTTGTGAATCAAACATGACCCATATGTACTGTCTTACGCATGTGGTATAAGCAGCAGCACATTCATAAAAATACCTGAGAATTTTTGTTTTTGTTTTTGTGTTTGGGTCTGTAACTGCCTACGAATTTCAAGCAATAATTTCCCGTGTATTTTTACAGGTGGACGATCCCATTGCTTCAGTCAAAAAGCTATTCATGTCTCCATCTGCCAAAAAAATGAAGCTGGCTCATGGTTCAAGTTGAGAAGCACCAAACTGTGAGAAGCCATGAAAGTGTTGATCTTTCAACCCGTTTTTGTTTGAGTTTTGTTTTCCTTTTTGCTTTTTGATGAGCCGTGTTGTACCTCATATGTACTGTCTTACGCATGTGGTATTAGCAGCAGCACATTCATAAAAATACCTGAGAATTTTTGTTTTTGTTTTTGTGTTTGGGTCTGTAACTGCCTATGAATTTCAAGCAATAATTTCCCGTGTACTTCCAGGCCGACTCATATAATGAAATACTGTATTGAATTGTTGGGAGGAGCAGCCATAGAATACATTTTCTTGCATAAATTTGTTCTCTCGTTACAAAAAAATGGAATATATCCGGATATGAGGATTCGAACAGTTTTCCGAGTCAGTTCAACAAGCCGCAATTTGAGACCACCACCTTCGAGTAAGGGCGGTTGAATCCTCTTTCTGCAACAACAGCCCTTTTATCTCCGATTAGCTTAGCCACTCTGTCAAACAAGGGGGATGTTTTTAATCACTGACAATAATGTAAAGTATTGAGCGGTATTCATTAAAGGCAGAATGCTCCTGAAAGTCTGAATGGTTTCATTTTTTTTAATTATTTCATTGGATTAGATTTGTCAATTGTTTATTTTTTTACCGTTTATTTTTTTTTATACAAAATTGATTTGATATTTAACGTGATTTTTTACAGGTATATAGTATTTGATAAATTTTACACATTGAACGGTTCAGATTATCAAAAATAGAACCCGTGATAGACCTCTACAAACCCAACAACAATCTGCGGTCCGTAGGAAAGCCAAACTTTCTTTTTTAACTATTCAACTATTTCATTTTATGAAGCTCAAAAATGATAACTAGAATAACAAAATATTATTTGATGGCAAGCAAGATGGCAACTCGGACGGACTTAATCTGAGCAATTCGTGTCCAGGCCGAGTTTTTTAAAGGCATGAACAACAATATATTGTAATCTGGGTGGGCCTAGACAAATTTTTGATGTTCGAATTACAATTTGGGCCGGACCTGGGCAGATGTTATGTGTAATCCGAACCCGAGTTGCATTTTATATATTATAAAAATTATATAATATATGTATAAACAAGTGGCCCTTGGATTTTATTTTATTTTATTTTTTGGCTGGGCTTTGACCCTTAGATTATAATCTTGTATTTGGACCATTAGATTAAAAGTAAAAGACTAAACCCTACCTATTCTTTTATTCCCTCTCTGTGTCTTAGACTCTCATTTCTTCCTCAAAGAGTTGAAGAATGGCAAAGAGAGGAACAAGGACCACGAAATTTAATTAGGGAAGGATTCCATCTGTGTAGATGTTCTTGCTCTTAATGATTCCAAGTAAGCAATCCCGTTATACTCTTGTATCTTGATTAATATTTTGCTAGTCTAGCATGTATACTGATAGCAGAATGTTTATCCTAGCCTTCATTCATGAATTGCAATAGTTGAATCATGAAGATGCTGATCATTTTGAGCTATGGTTCAAATCCCCTGAAATGCACCATTGCCAGTCTTCTATTTCAGATTTGGATGCATTTTGCTGTTACATTTGCAGAAGTTCGAATAATGATGAAATTAATTACTTATTGGATTGTGGTGGTCAATGCTTAATCAGGGTATGCATCTATACATATCATGTTTAACTTAAGTTGTTGTTGCTTTTCTTTCTTGTTTTTTTCTTCTTGTCAATATGAAAGGATAAAAAAGGGTTTCTTGTTGGAATATCATCATATTTCTTGTGAAATTTGGGCAATTCGGACTAATCCGAGTTCAGATTATAAAGCTCGATTCGGGCTTGGACAACCAAGCTCGGGTTGATGGTTGGGTTTACGCACTGCCAAACACAATTCGGACTGAGCCTGAATAACCTTTCAACCCGAGCGAACCTATTCGAGCTGCGCCCCTAATGGCAAGTTTTGTTGGTTGGTTGGTTAATTGGTCTCATGAAATGGGTTGGGTTGGGTTGCCAATGAACTTAAAACCTTTAGGCTCAAGGCAGACGTGATTAGGATCGTGATTAGGATTGTTCAAAATACACTGCTAATCACAAATTAAATTTTGAAATTTATAACTCGTCTTTAAAATTATTCTGCTATAGTTATGCATATATATATATATATATATATATTTCAATTTCTAATTAAACATCAAAATAAAAATGAATGTGAGAGAAATTTAAAATGTAAAATTTATTACAAATTAATAGTTATATATATAAAAAAAACATTATATAAATTAGTGTTATATATTATATAAATACTTTATAATTATTTAAGAATATTTTCCAATCAACTAGCAAATTAAAATCCTCTTAAACTATTCAAATCGCAATTTAATTATTTGTTAATTTATCATTCATGATTTAATTTTTAATTTTACTTACAAACTCCTTAAATGTGATGGCGGTGCAATAGGTTGCTTCAACAACAATTTAATTTGAACCTATTGTATATTTTCTATGCACGAGGTTCTATGCCACTTTGATAAGTTTAATTTTGTTTATTCTTTCTAAAGTTGTAATTTTAGTAGCCAATTTTAAACAATTATGTAAATCATCGATGGAATATTAATAAAATACACATACAGTCCTTATGCATGCCTTGTCACTTAGGCCTGCGAAATTTTAATTTTATCAATTTCATAATTAAACAATAAACATTGGAATATTTTACTTCGTCCTTTTCATTTAGTTAAGAAACTAATAAAATTTAAAAAATTTAAAAATTAAAATGAAATAATGGGTACTGTAGAGACCATAAGTTTATTTTATTATAATTCCGTTAATGATTTAGATGTGCCTATTTAAAATTAAATCAAATTAAAATTGATAAAATTAAAACTTGTAAGACAGAGAGCTGAGAGCAACCTATTGTTATGCGTCTCAAAAACAACCATACCTGAAATAAGGAGAACTAGTATTCTCCTGCACAGTCTTCACCTCTCCAATCCTCTTCACAACCTCCATCCCCTCCAACACTCTCCCAACCACCAGCGCCGCCGCATCCAACTCTGGCGAGTCCTTCGTCGCGATCACAAACTCCGTCCCGTTCGGATCACTCCCAATCTCCTCCTCATCAATCTCCAACCTCCCATTCTTCGCAACCACCTTCAATTTTGGAGGTGGTTTCAATGGATCTCTCACAATAATGCTCACACTTCCCGCCAAATTCTTCGTCCCCGGACAAACCCCATTCACTCTCTCCCACTCAGATCTGAGCCTGTCAATTGCCAAACCACTCCCCGTTGTCTTCGCAAGCTCAGCATCCACACCGTACGATCTCAGGCCACCATGTTGGACGTAATTGGGGGTGATTTTGATGAATTCTTTCCTCCGGTAACTGATTCCAGCGGCCCCACTGACGATGTCACTGAACCTGTCAGTGCCTACTGGAGCGGTGTTGGTGTATAGGCCAATGACAATTCGGCCAATGGGTTCTCCATTGACAGATATGTCGAGAAATGCCTGTTTTGTTGGAGTTGTGTCTATGCAACTAGGACTAGTAGAAATGGTGCTTGAATTTTCTGCTTGTTCACTGTTTTCGGCCGTGTTTGGAGGGTTTTCTTTGGTACTAGAAATGCCGGTTGAATTGTCTACGGCAGCGTTTGGGGGATTTTCTTCGGTACTAGAAATGGTAGTTGAATTGTCTACTGGTTCACTATTTTCAGCGATGTTTTGCGGGTTTTCTTCAGTACTAGAAATGGTGGTTGAATTGTCTGTCTGTTCACTATTTTCGGCGACATAAGGGGGTTCTTCAGCTTGGGCCATGGGGAGGTGGAAGGGGTCTGGTGGCAAGAGGACGAGAGAAGACGTAGTGAAAATGGCGAGGTCTCGACGTGAGAATTGATGGCAGCATTTGACAAGGAGAAGAGGTGGGGAGGTGGGTAAGTCTGTAATTTTTGTGGGAGGGAGCTGTGATAGTGGTGGCGGCAATGGTGGATGGAGGAATTGGGTGGAGGATTGAAAAACTTTTCGGGTTGGCCACATTTTTGGTTTGGTGAGGAGTGTGGGTGTGTATGTGTCACTCTAACCCTGCTTATCAAACAGTGTTTTGGGGGATGAATATCTCTCTCCCCTTATGTAGAGAGATTTTGTGGATAAGAAAGTGTAATCCATAAGCTTGGGATTGTCCATTGGTTGATCATACGTGGAGGTTGTATGATCCACCTGTAGAATTCTATGGTGGGCCATTCCTAGGGTTTGGGCCTATGAGTACTTCATTTTGTAACCCGAATTAACAAGAGCCTATACCAAAAATAAAATTCTAAAAAAATTTATTAAAAAAAAAAATTGATGACGGAAAATTACAATCACCCTATCATTCCATACAAGGTTTTATGAATAAATTTCTGAATCCGCACAAATTTTTGGCAGAATCAATACAATATAATGTGCGACTTCCTAAGATGTCGATATATGTTTTACTATGTGGATCGTCACACTTGCCACCTACACTAGGTAGGCACAAATCCATTTGCATTGGACACAGTTTCGTAGTTTTTCCTTTTGGTTTCGTGGACATCACCATAAGCTAAAACTTGAATAGCACAATACATCAAAATTGAAGTCTGAGGCAGAAAATAAAATTCAAAACCCAAATATTAGAACAAGATGATGAGTGATCACTCTAAAGGTTAATGCTAATCAGAGAAGCTCATTTACTAAAACAACTAATTGGATGAATGAACAAAACATTGTAAATGACCCAGAAATGAACCTTAGGGCAATGAGAGAACATAATTACAAATGTCAAAGAAAGTCTCGGTGGTTAATTTTTCAGTTGCTCGTATCTCCGACTCTGCTTTCAGTAATAGCCGACTCCTCTCAACTCTCCCTGTGTTGGTTGCTGGGCATCATCACCCTTTCCTAGAAATACAAGCCGGCCTGCAATACCCAGATAAAGACAAATCCATAAAACTATGGCAATGATAACGAAAATGTGACAGCAAGAACCCTTTGTAAGCTTTCCCAAACAAACTGCTTAAACTTCTATTAGCTAGACATTCATATAAGAAATGAGAAAAACGATATGGCAATTGCCTTCATGACAATCACTTTTTAAGCAGAATCCGTGCATCTCAGATGGCTAATTGTTAGATTGGGTTCATGGCATTAATGGCTTACAGGTTTTTAGTTTCCCAAACAAACTGCTTAAACTTCTATTAGCTAGACATTCATATAAGAAATGAGAAAAACGATATGGCAATTGCCTTCATGACAATCACTTTTTAAGCAGAATCCGTGCATCTCAGATGGCTAATTGTTAGATTGGGTTCATGGCATTAATGGCTTACAGTTTTTTAGATCTGCTTATCCAAAATATACTGTTTGCCATTCTTCAGCAGTTTTTTTGGGAATTTTTTTTTTTTTGACAGAACAATTGGAGCAATGGTAATAAACTGTCATATGGAACAGAGATCAGAGACATGTGCCATTTCCTCAAGGACAGGCATACATGCATGCATGTGAACTTTTCTGTCTCCACCTCCTAGAAGCCCATCATAAATTATTTTTTAAAAATGAGTTTTGATTTATTTCTAGCACTTACTGAGAAGCATAACAAGTAACATTCCTTCATTTAGAGAGAGAAAGACAATAACCAACATTGCATGAAGGATTGAAATTGGCAGACTAAAGCACTTCATCCATGAGACATCATTTCCCACTAATGTCACATGAACACAATAGAGTTCCATTTTACTAGGTAATGCTAGGGATACCAAATTTTCTACCAAATAAATGACCAAATGTCTCACATGGGTGGGGTCCATACCCATGTGAGACATTTGATCATTTATTTGGTAGAAAATTTGGGACTTATAGCATTTTCCTTTCTTTAAAGGTTGGAAATTTTTGAGTTAAAAAATTGGTGCGTCCATTATTTTTGTCAGTCGCCTATATAGACATATATACCTTTATAGTTCAAATGCCTAAAAATCAGTCAATACTGAAGTTTTTATTTTTATTTTTATAAGATGTCGATGACATTAAAAATCACACGTACAAATTTGCAACAAGCCAGACAAAGTATAACTTCTATGAGATCAGATAATTGACTCCACATATTGAAGCAGTTCCAGCAAGCAAGAGCAGAACAGAGTAATGAATATACCGTTTTGACGAACGGCTATCTCTCTTATACGTCGGACAAGACCAGTTATTGGATCAGTGAAGATTTTGGTCTCCAAATTCCCCTCCAAATACAAAATTGAACTACAATGAACAAGTGTAAAGTTATTATTAGGAAGAAACAAAACTGGGATAAAATTTACATGTGAGCAAAAGTGAAAATCAGTGGGAGCAGGCCACACAAAAAACTATATTGTAGTTCATCCAAGTAAAATCAATTAGATGTGCCACAATTGTGGCATCCAATAATTAACCAGGAACAATGGAACTATTTCAAGAACAAACCATAAGAAACATTCTTTTCTCAAGATGAGCTTAGGATAATAAGACACATAATGCTATAACAAGCAAAAGATAAACCGAAATGAAACTGGGGAATCACCTTTTGCATGAGGATAACTTTTCTTGTTTCTTTTAGGCCAAGTATTGGCAAGCATATCTTTAGGTTGTGTTTGGTTGGAGGATTTGATGAGAGAAATGGAAATGCAATCCCACTTTTTGTTTGGTTATAATGAAAAGCACAAGGAAAAAGAAAGTGAGAGGAAAATGCAATCCCGCTTTTTGTCTTTTAGGTTCACTTAGGCTCTTTTATTTCCCCAATTCTCAACTCCACCAAACATTGCTTCGAATTCGAATCCTATCAATTCTTTCTCTTTTTCTTTCTATTTCCCTTTCTCTTTCCATTTCTGTCATCAAATCTTTCAACCAAGCACAACCTTAATGAATCAATAACGAGCAGGTCTCAAAACAATTTTTATATCAGTGGATGATAAGTGCAGAGATCCATTAAAAGGCAAACCTGAGACACACATAACTTGCAAGCACGAAAAGAGAGAGAAGAGAAAAGAAAGAAACAAAACAGACATAACTTAAGGCTCCGTTATCATGTCATTTGTATATCAGTAAGAAGCTCATTGCTGCATATCAGTAAGAAGCTCATTGCTGCTAGGTTCACTGGAGGAGTCTTCATTTTTTATTATAATGTTGATTATCTTTTGCAATTCTACACAATTTGGATTCCAGATCACTAAGTTTACAAAAAAATAAAGTTTTGGTCCCATAGATAGGACATAATAGTATGTGGAGGATTGACTGCTTGAACACTTTCAGTCAGTCACTTTTTCAATGAATTTAAGCTTTGCATCCAAATAAGTGAAACTACCATGGCCTTAAAACATCATCCCAAAGTTTGAGAAGATAGAGCCAAGGGAGAGGAGCAAAACTACCACGGCAGCTACGGGTGTTCGCGGTTCGGTTTTGGACTGTTTGCAGATCGGTTTGGACCCGCCCGCATGTAAGCGGTTTGTGCAGATAGCGTTCGCGGATGTGCGGACGGTTTGCGGATTGAATTTTTTTCTTTAAAAATTATTTTGGAGGCTTTTTTTTTCTCATTTTGTAAATATTTATTTTGGGCCATTTTCCCCCAATTTTCTAAAATGCTCCAACATTAATAATTAATGAATTAAAACTTATAAAATTAAAAACACAACAAAATCAATTCCTAACACATCAAATCATTCAAAATCCTAAACTTTTAAATCAAATGATAAACTAATACAAGCAAATCTTTCAAAATCCTAAACTTTTAAATCAAATCATAAACTAAAACAAGCACATCTTTCAAAATTCTAAACTAGATCATCAATTCAATTCACTATCTACTACCTAACAATACAATTAAAGTAAAATAAAATCATTCAAAATCTTAAACTTACCTAAAAGTAATTCTTGATTAAATTTTACATTCATCCAAAATGCAATAAGAACACAACTCAATTTTCAAGAATAAGAACACAAAACAAAAACAGATTCTTAATTAGGGATGGAATCAAACTTCACAGAGCACTACATTAAGGGACAGTATCACAGAAAAATATTCTCTGTTTTTGGTAAACAAAACTTCATATTCATTAAGGAATTTAAAATTCCAATTCACACTTCATCCGGGACATGTTCAGTTATGAAAAAATTATGCAGTAGACAATCAAGTGTTGTTATGGCCGAAGGCAACGACCAATCGTATCATGCAGTGTATATGTGGAAAATTGAGCACAATACAACCTACTTACAAAGCTACTATACTATGGTGTTTATAAATGTGAAAAATTGAATTGGCATATGATACACAATCAACAATGAAGAATAGAAGTTAAAAAAAAAAAAAGTCCAAGTACGGGCGAGTTCTTGTGGGTGCAGGTAAAACCCGTAATCCGCCCGCAACCCGCAATAATACCATATTTTAAACCGCATCCGCCCACATTATGTCTGCAAAACTGCCCATTTGTATGCGGATCAGTTCAAGTTAGGCGGGTTGTGCAGTTTGGATAACCCTATGCCTAGTCCTAATGGCAACAACACGGAATTATAAAGCAATGAAGAATAGGGAAAGGAGGCAGATTAGGGTTCTCTAAGGCCTTACGATACTAAGAAACCATCTTTTCTCATCATGAATGGCTACCACAAACCATCCACGGGAATCTCTAGAGAGAGAAGCTTCCAAATCTAGAGAGATAATACCCTTTCATTTTAGCGGCTTGTCTCCCTCAACCTATATATAGATATACTTGGAAGATCTCCCAAGGTGCCTAGAAGTTTTGTAAACTAAACCCAATCGGGCTTAAAGCAAGACCTAGGGACACTAAAAGATCTCCCTAAGGTTGGTACCTTTGTCATGGGACACTAAAAGATCCATCACCCTCACATGGGGTCACTAGGATTTTGTGGCATGATAGTTAAATCAAGTGGGTTCATCAAGGTGGCTTGTTCCATCCTCCCTTGGGGGACTTGCACGTCAATCAGTCTCAGAAAGATAAGCCACTACATGAAAACATCTCCAAGTCATAATTAGCGACAATTTTGGAGTCATACATTGGTCAATCATCACAATCTCTAAAGGCTCTCAAGTACCTGATGTCACTTTCAGCTATGACTCCTATATTCGGGTGGCTGCCAAAAGTGTGTGGGGATCTATGAAGCACGGATACCTCTTCGAGGCTTGCGTATCAGTGTCGGACACATGTCGGACAGGGTCACGTTGTGGACACGTGCCTGTTTTTTTGAATTTTTTGCAGCCGAACACATTTGGGACATGTTTCGAACACTGCGGGGTGCAAAACATAATTTCTAAAACTTGAATTAAAAAATTAATCCAATTTGGAACCCTACAATCGAACTGATTGAAGAGAAGAGACAAGAGAAAGGGTTGCTCACTGCTCGTTGCTCACTGCCATATCGAAGGTAAGTTCTTCGATTCTCTTCTTCATCTTGTTCGTTCGATCTTCTTCTTCTCTTCTTCTTGTTCGATCTTCTTGTTCGAGTTTTTCGATCTATCCCCTCTGTCGCTCTCTCTCTCTCTCTCTTTTCTTTGTTGTCTCTAACTCTCTTTTTCCTTTTTCTTTTTTTTTTTTTTTCTGAAAGTAAAGCTCCTCTCTCTCTCTCTCTCTCTCTCTCTCTCTTATTATTATTATTATTATTATGTTGGCTGATCAGTTTTATAATTTTATTTGAAGAAAAAAACAAATAGTAGTTGATATTACTGAAATTATTAATTTTAATGATGTGTTTATTAATTTTATTATATGAACCAATTTTTTATTTTGAAATATAATTTTTTATATAATTTTAACAATCTCATTTTGTACTTTTTATTACCTTTCAATATTTTTTTAATAATTTTATGACATAATAAATAAATTTAACTATATATATTGAACATGTCCCCAATGTGTCTTATCTTCCTATTTTTTAAAAATTTGTGTGCCCGTGTCTCGTGTCTGTGTCCATGTTCGTGCTTCATAGGTGGGCATCCATCCCTTGGGTCCATTATAGCACTTTATTGTGCTATAGGTACCTACTATGAAGGACAGACACCTCTTCGAGGGCTTTGTACCAATGTCAGACACGCGTCGGACACATGGTGGACACGTGTCCGACACGCAGCAGAGAGTGTCCCATTTTAAAATTTTTTTTTTTTTGCACCCGAACACGTTTAGACACGTTCGGGAGGGTCAATTTCATAATTTATGAAACTTGTGTTGGGGCCAATTTGTAAAACAACAAAAATAGAGCAATATTTATCCTAAATCGACAGAGAAAAAGAGAAAAGAGACCAGAAGAGAAAGAGAGAAGACTTGGTTCATTTTCAGTGGTCGCTCGTCTATGCTTGTCGCTCGTCAGCTGTTATCTAAGGTACGACTTCGCTGCTTCATTCTTCATTCTTCTTCTTCTCCGATCTCTCTCTGTCTCAGTCGCTCTCTCTCTCATAGTCCTCTGCGTTGTCTTGTTTTGTTTTTTCTTTCTTTCTTTTTTTCTTTTTTCTTTTCTTTTTTTTTTTCTTTCTTTCATATGGTCTGTGTGGGATGTCTGGGTGTCTCTCTTCTATTTATTTTTTTCCTGATTTCATTTTATTTTTCTTTTCTTTTGTAGATCTCTGTTATTTGAATGTCTATTTTTTTTTTTTTTTTTTTTTTGCGTTATTTATGAATGATATATATCATGTTAAATCAATTAAATGTTTATTTTTTACAATTTTAGTAGTGTTATTTTGTATTTTTTACATATTTTTTTATAATTTTATGATATATAATAAATAAATTTAATTATATATATTAAACGTGTCCCCAGCTTATCGTGTCTCCCATTTTTTGAAAATTTGCATGTCCGCGTATCCGTGTTGTGTCCATGTCGTGTCACGTGTCCGTGCTACATAGGGTACCTACTACCTACCTCTCTGGCTCAACCCTCCTACAAAAAAAAGGCATTTTTCCCCAAAGACAAAGATACAATTCCACCTAGATGCTAGCCATCACTTAACGCATTAGACCCCTCTCTCTCTCTCTCTCTCTCCTGCTCTAGATTACCTTTACTCAACCAACCCTTTTTCTGTGATTCAAGTTATTCAACGCCACACTAGAGAGCAGTGTCACTTCCCAAAAGGCTCCACAACCTACTCATCTCATGTACCACCCACAGTCACAAAAGGGAATCTAATCACTTTTTTCTACCAAACCTTTATTTTTCAGTATGTTGCTCTCTGAGCAAGGATTTCCATGCAAAAACAGAGTGAAACAAAGGGGATAGTATCAAGTTGTGCAATTCCCATTTGTTCCCATCCCAATATGTTCATCGATTGCTTTCTCTATTGAAATGGATTCCTGAATCCTATCTTTTTTTCAATGCATTGATTGACAGTCGCCTTACTTCTATGATAGATACAAAAAGCGGAAGAGGGGTTGAGAAACGACAAAGGTAGACAAACAAAAAATTATATGGCATAAGTAAATCAAATGGTAGGGTCTGACATTCATTAAGGTGATCCCCAATCTTGCTCAACTCATGGAATGGGATGGTATTAATCGATCTACAATAATTTTGGCTTCCCTTCCTATGAGTGCATCCTCTTTGGTCATGTTATGTTCACACATCTATAGCTAGTTATCTGCCTAGTTCATATTTTTTTTCTTAAAGAAAATTTCTTCTAGAGATATCCACGATAGCTTATCATGTCAAAATAAATTACCTACCAGAGACTGCAGTGCCAGCAAAAAGCTACAATGTACCTATATCATTAAGTATGACATGATGCAACACTATACAATGAAGAAAGGAAAACTTGTGCTTGATAACCTAATCATGCTTGCAATTTGACAATTCCCAATGAAGAATCAAACTGAACATAATAAAACATGTAAAATCCCGAATGAAGTAGTTATAAAATGTATATATAAGAACGACAGTCAATTTTACTTGGATAGTTGGCCTAACGTCTAATCCTTTCATAATCCAACAACATACTTAGAAGAATTAACAGCTTGGTAGTCAGTTATTGCAAAAGAACACTCTTTGTACCTTGCATTTTTCTATCAAAATCAAATATATTTCTATTCTCTTCATTACTTGGTGGATTTGAAGTCCTCTTAATTGAGACATCAGAACTACCTACCAACGCAATCGTTTGATGTATGTTTGACAGGCAAAAGTATGAAGATTTAGTGCATATTGCAGAAATAGATACATATGTTCACACCCATATATGCTCAGATTGACAAATATACATAAATGCACATAATTCAATAAAATTTGAGGCGCAAACTAAGCTCACCCAGGAACAGCATGCTTCAAGGCAATGGACCCCAACCTCTCAGGATAAATGGAGACCCGATGCCACTGAACTGCACACCGATTCGCATATTCCCTCGGCTCCTCATTATCCAACGGCCTCCGGTTGTTCCGAATCCCACCCGTCCCGACCGACAACAGCGTCACCGTCCTCCCACTCTTTAGCCTCTTCTGCAGCGGAGTCTGCCCCACCTGACCCACCAATATTGCCTACACCCAAAAACAAAAACCCTAATCACAATCCATTTTCAAATCCCCAATTAAAACCCTAAATCATCAATATCATAAATACATACATACATATATAGATAGATAGATATAGATATAGATACCTTGTAAATGCCAACGTCCAAGCCGTTTTCGAGAGGGCGATCGAAGAAGGTTTGCCGTTGGGTGTAGTCTGATGATGATGACGGTGAAGGAGAGGAAGGGGAAGCTGAGTCGGACTCGGTATTCGGGTCGGGTTCGATAGTGGAATCGTCGGGGGTTTGAGGGGAAGAGAGTGTAGAGCAGAAGCGAATGGAGAATTGAGAAGAAGGGTTGGTGAAGAGAGAGCGATAGATTCTTCTCGAGATCGAAGCCATCGAAGACGACATTGAATTCAAATGGTGTCTACTCTCTCTCTCTCTCTCTCTCACTCACACACACACACACACACACACACACACACAGTCTGTGCTTAAACCCTACTGTGTCTGTTGAAATGTATTGTTGTTAGGATTATTGGGGGTTTATTCCATCTCACTCTTTTGAATTTTTATTAAACAAATATTGATTCCATTTACCCCAATGGTTACCTCTTTACACTTTCTATTTCATTAGGCCATGTCCAACGTTTAATTAAGTTTATTATCAAATTTAAATTTGGTAAAAAATATACTTTAAATTTGGTGAAAAATATCTTTTTTTGATTTCTAACGGTTTCATTAAACTTGTTTTAAATTGATAACATCCCAAATTTTTTACCAAATTGAGGATATCTTGCACATTTCAGTAATTTACTGTGCATAGCTATTGAGTGTGGACCCACCAGACGTCCTCCCAGATGACTACGTCAATGCATAATTTGTGAAAAATTTACATAGATGGGTCGACCGCCCGGTCGACCACCTGCCTCTCTATTCCAATTCTGTTATTCTCAAAAACTACTTTCAATATCATATCTTTGTAAAAGTTGCTTTTATTTCTTTCATGTGTTCTGGTCTTGCAAAAAAATGTGTATCAATTTTTTTGAAGGGAACATTTTTCATTGTTATATTTTATTTTCCTTACATTTCCTTTTAACTCATTTTTCTCAAGAAATTTTTCCTGTAAATTTTCCTTGCAACTTAATGGAGTTATCTAAATCTAGCAGAAACAAATCAAAAAACATACCTTATTTTCTCAAGCTATCATTCATATCATTTTATTCTCTCAATTAAAAAATGTTAAGTTTTGTCAACTTAATCTAATGAGTTGGAGCATCTCATTTGGGAGTACACTACCTTTGTTGCAAAATTTTTTATTTTTTTTTATTTACTCTTGCCGGTCGACCTGTGTTTTGGTGATAGCTACAAATTCACCGTTTGAGTTACTAATATCAAATAGAGGAATTCGTACTTTTTTTTAACTCAAAATTTGATGAAATATTTGGTAAATTGTTGGAGATGCCTTTAGGATGATAGTGTGAGAAATGATTTAGTAATGAGATTGTTAAATTATTTTTATATAAAATAAATAAAAAATTATTTCTATATTAAAAGAAAATTAAAACAAGGAAAATTTACCCATAAGTCCTAGTTTCTGAAAAGTTGAACCATTTAGTCCTAAAAGTTTTCTTATGCTCCATTTAGTCCCATTTGCACATCAATCTAATGTTTGAAACATTAATTTGATGTTCGAAATCTAATGTTCGAAACATTAATCTGATGTTCAAAATTTAATGTTCGAAACATTAATCTGATGTTTGAAACATTGTAATGGGACCGTCGATCATCTGCCGAAGTCAAATCGAATCATTTGGTCTTCTTCTGCCGAAGTCGAATCTTCTGGGTCTGCTTCTTCCTTCTTCGGACGTCGTTCCGAGGTGAATTGCTTCTTCTACCTTCTTCTTCCTTTCTTCTTCTTCTTCTTCCTTTCTTCTTTGTTCACTGTTCTTCTTTGTTCGACTTCACCTGTTGTTCTTCTTTGTTCGACTTCGACTTGAAGAAGAAGAACACTGTCGAACAAATTAATTTTTTTAATTAATTCAATTTTTCTTGGTTAATTTTCTTCTTTGTTCGAATCAATTTTTTTTTAATTAATTTTTAATTCGCAAAAATTAATTTTTAAAATTAATTTAATTATTTTAAAATTAATTTTTTTTCAATTAATTCAATTATTTTTTTTCTTCTGTGTTAAAATTTCAATTAATTTAATTAATTTCCTGGTAATTTAATTAATTATTTTAATTCAATTAATTTGTTTATTTTAATTCAATTAATTTAATTCAATTAATTTCTTAGTTATTTTAATTTCCTGTTTATTCAATTAATTATTTTAATTCAATTAATTTATTTAATTCAATTAATTTGTTTATTTTAATTTAATTAATTTCCTCATTATTTTAATTTCCTGATTATTCAATTAATTATTTTAATTCAATTAATTTGTTTAATTCAATTAATTCAATTAATTCAATTAATTTAATTCAATTAATTTCAACTATTTTAATTTCTTTATGTTCTTTAATGTTGTTAAAATATGTTCTTTAATTTCTTTATGCTGAAACATTGAATTGCTTGTTGGATAGAATTAATGTCAAAGTCGAGTGAAAGTAAAAAAGATCCGGCATGGCAATATGCACGGATGGTAAATCCCCAAAACCTTTCAAAGTTCATTTATAACTTTTGCGACAAAGAAATGAATGGCGGTGTTTACCGAGTCAAGCAACATCTTGCTGGTGGTTATAAAAATGTTGTTGCTTGTAAAAAATGTGCATCTCATGTCAAAGATGAGATTAAAAACTATATGTCTCAAAAAAGTCAATCAAATGTGCAATTGAGGATGGTTCCTGATTTTGATGAGATGGATAATGATGATGATGATGATGATGATGATGATGATGAAATTCTTGAGATAAATCAACATGGTAAAAAGCCTGTTTCTACTCAAGGTTCTACACGTCGAGAACAAGGAAGTAATTCCTTCAAATCTGTTGGTTCCAAACAACCAAAGCAAAAGGGACCCATGGAAGTGTACTTCACCCCTGGTCCGGAAGTTGCGGTGCAAAATCGTAAAGTCAAGGGAAAGCAAACAAGAATTGATGATAATGATCCTAGCAAGAAGATGTTGAGAGATCGGGCTCTTGTTTGGTTTTCGAGGTGGATGTATGATACGGGTATACCTTTCAATATTGTGAACTACAATAGTTTTGGGCCAATGGTTGAAGCTTTTGGGCAATATAGTCCTGGCATGAAACCGCCAAGCTACCATAAGGTGTGGGTTCCTTATTTGCAAAAAGAGGTAGACCACACTAATAAGACCATGGAGGATCATAAAAAAGATTGGGTAACATATGGATGCTCTTTAATGGCCGATGGGTGGAAGGACAAAAGAAACAGAGCATTAATTAATTTTTTGGTTAATTGCCTAAGAGGATCAATGTTTACTGAATCTGTTGATGCTTCTAGCTTATCCAAGGATGCAAATAAGATGTTTGAATTGCTTGACAACTTTTTGGAGCGTATTGGTGAAGCCAACGTGGTTCAAGTTGTTACAGATAGTGCCTCAGCAAATGTGTTGGCCGGTTAGTAACTTAGTAGTATACATTTACTTAGTACTTACTTACAATATGAATATGCAATTATCATATTATTCTTTTTAAAAAAAAAAAAAAAACTTGTAATAGGGAAGTTTTTGGAGGCAAAGCGGCCACATTTGTATTGGACACCATGTGCAGCTCATTGCTTGGACTTGATGTTGGAGGACATTTTCAAAATTCCCAACTTCAACAAGACATTTGAAAAGGCAATTGCGGTGCATGGTTATATTGTGAACTGCTCTGGTTTGTTGAATATGATGAGGCAATTTACCCAGTGCAAGGATTTGATCAAGCCAGCAAAAACTCATTTTGCAACTACTTTTCTAACTTTATCAAGGATTCATCAATAACAAACCAACTTGAAGAAGATGTTCACTTCAGAGGAATGGACCACAAACAAATGGGCGAAGGAACCACAGGGTAAAAAGACCGCACAATTCATATTAATGCCTTCTTTTTGGAACAATGTTCTTTATGCTCTCAAAATATCAAGTCCTCTTGTTCGTGTACAACGATTGGTTGATGGTGAGAGAAAGCCCCATGGGATATATTTATGAGGCAATGGATAGGGCTAAAGAAGCCATTGCAAAATCATTTAATGGAAATGAAGAGAAGTACAATGAGTTTTTTGAAATAATTGACAATAGATGGAATGTTCAATTGCAAAGGCCTTTGTATGCAGTTGGGTATTATTTAAACCCAGAGTATTTTTACGCAAATCCGAATATTGAGAAAGATAAGGAAGTCATGTCAGGCCTATATAAATGCATACAAGGGTTGGTCCCAAGCAATGAGACACAAGATAAAGTTTGCGTAGAGTTGACTACTTATAAGAAAGCTGATGGTCTCTTTGGGATGGCTTTGGCCATTAGACAAAGAACTACAAGGGCACCAGGTGATCTATATTTTATACTTAAGTAATTTTAGTTAGTTTTTTATATTTTAAATATTCTTTCTAATTAGTTAGTTATAATCAACAGCTGATTGGTGGAGTGCATATGGTTCTGAAACGCCAAATTTGCAAACATTCGCCATCAAAATTCTTAGTCCAACTTGTAGCTCATCTAGATGTGAGCGGAATTGGAGTGTGTTTGAACATGTGAGTACTCATTTTTAACTATAGTGAATATGAATACCTATAAATTTATGAACACCTAGATAAAAATTTGAATATTTTTATTTGGTTTGAATTTTTGCAGATTCACACCAAAAAGAGAAATAGGTTAGCTCAAAAACGTCTGAATGATTTGGTATTTGTTAAGTATAATAGAGCATTGAGACGTCGATACAATTCCCGTGACACTATTGATCCCATTGCTTTGACGGATATTGATGAAAGTAACGAGTGGTTGGTTGGGAGGATGGAGGAGGAACTTGTCTTTGAGGATGATACTTTGACATGGGATGATGTTGCTAGAGCTGCTGGAGTTGAGGAAAGTAGTCAAAGAACTAGATCAACAAGGGCAATAGAAAGGGGTTGTTCAACTTCAAAATCAGCAGCTAGACCTAGATTGCAACTTATTGATGAGGAAGAGTCAATTTCAGATAGGGGAGAGGAAGAAGATACAGAGGGATATACTGAAGCCAATGATAATGAAGAAGAAGTTCATTTGCTTGATGTTGAAGATGATTTTTAGAACTTTTGGATTGGTGGATTGTATTTGTCTTTGTTGGATATTTTCTTTTGTTTATGGATATTTAGTATTTGGAATGATAACTGCATGATGGTTCTTGAAAATATTTATATTTTTGTCTATACCGTTTATTTAAAAAAAATATCATTTCTGGTCGCCTCGCTTCGATGAAGCCCTCGCCTCGCCTCGTCGCCTCGTGCTTAGGCGTTAGGTGACCTTGTCGCCTTAAAAAACACTGGGAGTGACTAATACCAAATAGAGAAATTCATTGTTTTTTTACTC